CACACAGCAGTTGCCACAGAAGACAAACATCATAAAAATGCATGCCCCTCCCTCCCCCTTTCTCTTAACATTTATATCTGAGTAGATATCATATATTATGGAATATCCCTTTGGTCAGTTTGGGTCAGCTGTTCTGGCTGTCCCCTCTCCCAAGATCTTGCCCACCCTCAGCTTCCTGGCCATGGGGAACGTTGGAGAGACAATGCTGATGCTGGGGAATGCTGCTCAGCGGTAGCCAGAACACTGGGTGTTAACCACACCTTTCTAGCTACCATGCAAGGCACAGCACTGTAAGGGCTGCCGTGGGGAAGATTAAGTCCACCTTGGCCAGACTCAATACAGGAGTTTAATTCACCAAGGTGATAAGAGCTAGTCTTTTTTTTCCTTTTAAAAAGTCTTTTCACTTGTCTCTCAACCTCTACGTTTAATGCCTTGGCAAATATCTTCGCTGAAACCTTTTTGTTTTCTTCTCAGAGTCTTTCCTGCATGTCAACATCCATTTTATTAATTTTCCTTCATAGGTCCCAGCTTTGTGCAGGATCCTTTGTTCTTCCAACTAAAAAGGAGTGAATCTGAAGGAACATCTACCTTGTTAAAAGGCTGGGTTCAGCTGAAGTTGAGGTGGCCCTCCTCAGATAAAAATCAGTGTAGCTTGGTTACTACTGCAGTATACTCAGTTTAAGTTCATAGTCACTTAAATGCAGGTTTAAAAAAAAGAAGCACAAAAGCCACCTGATCATAGCAGATGTATAAAAATCAGATCACCACAAAGAGAGTAAATGAATTAATACTTAACAGAAAGGGCCATTAAGAAAATAAAAGGAAAAAATTATCACAGAAAGACTGTTTCCAGAATCAAGAGAAAGATACTGGGATTTTAAATATTATAACTGTCAGATTTTAGGAAATCTTTAGTCATGCTACTCAATGAAAAGTAGTAAGTAATTAAGATTTTTTTTTTTGTTAGCAAAATCTTAATTAGTAATTGTTAGCAACAACATTCAGTGCATATAGAGCATTTTCCATCTGCTTCTAATTAGAAAGGAAAATCTGAAGAATGACTTGGAAAAAATCATACCCTAGGCATTAGCATACTAACAAGGAGAGTCAGAATTGAATATGCTCACAAAAGACAGGCAATTTGTCTGTCTAATAGAAGCACTTGATAACATTGCCAAGTTTGCTAAAAAGGCAACAGACAAGTTGTTCTGAATTTAGAGGCTGCAGGAAAAAGGGCAAGTTCTACTGAGTGCAGAAGAATACATCACATATTCTCTGACCTCCTGGAGAATATGCAACATGGAGGAGCCTATTTAGTGAATTTTAAGAGTTTTTCTGTAGTGATAAAAAAAAATAAAAGTATTTTCAAGTTGTGGAAATCAACAGAACTTGTGTGAAAGATCTTTAGTTTCCCATAACAACTGTACAAGAAGAGTGATGAGCAAAGCCAATGCACTATGGTAGGATAAGGAATATATGGTAGGGTCATATCTACAAAGTACATCTAAGAATGGGGTCAGATATGGGAAGACTGAAAGATGAATGATACCTTTCTGCCAAGAAAAACATGGATAACACAAACCAGCAAGTCTTGCTGTACCATCCATTTGGGCATACTTCATTCCTACCATGTCAAGGTAGCAGGTAGCAAGTCTAGTCTAGAGTAAATATCCTCAGAAACAACTGACCATCTCAAGATCAAGGTAACTAGTAAAGATTTTAGCAAGGTAGAGCCCATTGTTGCTACCTTCAGGGGCACTGTAAAGCATTGTCACTTAGAAGCTGGCAACACTAAGGATGCAAAGAAAGTGAACAGACAATCCTAGCAGGATAACAGGAAGCTGTTGGAGAGAGAAGCACAGATGGATACCTGACCATGCAAAGTAATTATGCAATCTCTTATATTAAACTGATGTATCAGAGAATAAGGGTTCACTAAGGCAAGGGAAAAACCTCCCCTACTATTCAGTGAAGGGGTGTGATATCAGGCCTACAGGCACCTAGGTGTATAGTAATAACAAAAAAATGTGTTAACTAGTCTTAATTTAGGATCTGAAAATAAATTCCATTGCAAACATACCCTGAAACAATGAGAGCACCAGAGGCTCAGAGCATGACTCAGGAAATGGTGTAAGAGAAAATATTCTTTAGGACCTGGCAAATTTTCTGAGATAAAGACTTGGTCAGAAGAACATGCATGAGCTAAAATCGAGTTGCTTATATTATAAAGTTAAATTCAAATGAAAGGTAGATTTTGAAACAAAGGGTATTTTTATTGGTTGCATGCTAAGCCCAAGACTTCAGTAAGACATATTTTTCCTCACAAGCTTGCGAACACATATTTCATGCCCTGGTCAAAGTATTTCTCAATATTTTTAAATCTTGCTAGACAGGTTATCAGAAAATGTATTGTTGTACTTATGTATGACCCCAAAAGATTTCTTTTTTTTTTTTTTGGAAACACACACTACCCTTTATTAGCTTCCCTTCCTTTACCCTTCAATCATGATGTTTTTCCACAGCCAGTTATGCTTGTGCCCAGTAAACAGATTTATCCTGGTCTTCTAATATGATAAGGCCTCAGTGAAGCCTACAATATGTGCATACACATATATTCAGAGTTATGGTACTTGCTCACCCCCATGCTCATTTTCCCACTCCTTTCTGAGGCACCTTCAGACTAACAGCCCTTTCCCTGACACCAAGACCTATCACACCACAGCTATTTATTACAGCTATGACTATGAAATTACTTGACTGCTTTTAAAGCAAAGAGAGAAAGAATCAGAGAACCACACAATTGTTAGGGTTGGAAGGAACCTCTGGAAATCATCCAGATCTCACCTTCCCCACACAGGCAGGGTCAGCCAGAGTAGCTGACAAATGAATGAATCCAGGTGGGTTTTGAATGTCTGCAGACATGGAGAGTTCATGACCTCTGTGGGCAGCCTGTTCCAGTGCTCTGACACCCTCAATGTAAAGTTCTTCTTCATGTTGAGGTGGAACTTTTATTAGTTTACAGCCATTGCTCCTCATCCTGTTACTGGGCACTGCCAAAGAGTCTGGCATCATCCTCTCAGCACCGCCTTTGAGATATTTATATGCATTAATGAGATCCCCTTTCAGTCTTCTTTTCTCTAGACTAAAAAGGCCCAGCTCCTACAGTCTTTCCTCATAAGAGAGATGTTCCTAATCATCTCTGTGGCCCTTTGCTGGACCCTCTCCAACAGTTCCTTGTCTTGTACTGAGCCCAGAACTGGCCACAGGTGTGGCCTCACTAGGGTCGAGAGGCAGGACCACCTCCCTCAATCTGCTGGCTACACTCTTCCCAGTGTACCCCAGGATACCATTGGCCCTCCTGGCCAAAAGGGCACACTGCCACCTCATGGTCAACTTGTCATCCACCAAAAAGTTGATGCTTTACCTATTTTATTTCTTTTTTTCAGTAACTACAGACAGCCTTTTTGTTACTGCTTCATGTAAACATTTAAGTTAGAGGGGAACTTTTTTCATTAGGATCTTGGAGTGCCACCTACTTCCCACATAACAGGGACTCCAAGAGAAAGGTTTATGCACTACTCCAGCTTGTGTTGCCAAAATATGTTCTGCACCTGGTGTGCAAGAGGCAAATCCACACACAGAGTCAAGTTGTTTATTTACAAATCTGTGCAGAAAGGGGTGCTGGGTGGCAAATCCACGAAGCTAGCACACAACCATCAAAACTTTTCACTATGTATACATTTTAGCAAACACAGGAATTAGTGTCCCTTGGCTACAAGTTACATAGTTCTCTTATTCATTAGTACTCTCTCTTCTGTTGGTTAATGACTCTAGCTTCTCATCCAGATTAGTCCGCATAGCTGGTCGTTCCCTTGAGTCGGTGGGTTTCCTGGGTGAGTGGTCCATGAGTCCGTGGTCACGATCTCCCCCTGCCGGAATTACCTTTTACCCAGTCGGAGCTGATTCAGCACAGTTGCTGAGTTGGCTTTATTAGTTTTTCCTTATCTTGGGAGCTCTGCCAAACGTCCTCGTGGCCCATAAATTCTGCGTTCTTTGCATCCACTCTCAGGAGTTCAGCTTTGTTAACCTCCCCCTAGGTCTGAGATCATTGAAACACGTCAAGCCCTAAAACCTTAACGAGGCAATTCTACCAACAAATAATTTGTCTTTCTAACACCTAGGCATCACTTAGAGCTTGTTAGCTGCTCTCTGTTTCACGGATTAAATCTCCTTTCGTGTTGTTTAGGCTTGAAAGTATATAAAAATCAAAGAACATTCTTTCTTAAGAAAATGTTACCTATTCCACATTTTACAACAACTAGAGTGGGAAGCACGACAGAGTTTTGGCAAAGCCCCCAGCAGATCCCGACCCACGGCTGCTGACCGACGTGCACTGCCTCACCCCACCCTGGGCCAGCCACAGCGCCCGGAAATGGAAATGGGAAAACAAGCCCTTTTCCCGTCCTCGCAGGCGCTTCCGGGTCGCGCTGGGCTCCTGGAGGCGGCGGGGCGGGAGCTGCGGGGCGGGCGGTGCTCTCCGTCCTCCTCCTGCTCACCATCCTGCTCCTCCTCCTCGCCATCCTCTGCTCCTCGCCCTGCCGTGCCGGTGCCGCCCGTGTCCGCCGCGGGCTCTGCGGGGGTGAGCGGGGCGGGCGGGGCCCGCGGGCGGTGCGGAGGGGAGGGAGGGAGGGGAGGCCGCGGGCCGGGGCTGCGCCGGCGGCGCTCCGGCTGTGGGGCTCTTTCTCTGGCAGTGTGGGTTTACCAACACCTCCCAAGAAAGTGCCCTCAGCCGAAAATCCGCGGTCCTTCTGGTGCGGTCCGCGGGTCGCTGCTGGCGAAGAGCATCCCCGTGTTCCCAGGGCAAAATCGCTGGAGGTTTATGAGGCCGCCTTAAAAGCCGCGGGGTCTCTTCCTGCTGGCCTGCTCTTCTGTCCTCCCCGGGGACGTGTGTGAGCTCTTTTTGGTGTCTGTGGAATAGCGTTTCCTCTGCAAAGGTGAGTTTGTCTTGTCACGGCTCAACTGCCCGTGGAGAGGAGGCAGCACACGGCGGTGTTCACTTCCCTCCTCCTTTGGTGGGACAAGCAGATGTCACCCTGTTAAACACAAATGTACTTTAATTCATATTTGCTCTTAAAACCAGCCTCTCGTTTTGGGTCACCTAAGAGTAGTGTGCGCTGCAGGTGGTTTGGCACTTAGTTGGCCTTGGGCTTCTGGCAGGTGTGTTGTTTTCTGGCTAATGCCAAGCACACTCAGGCCTAGGAAGAGAAGAATAATACATTGCAAACTGGCTCAGGAGCCCCAGTCTTTCTGGTAATTACCTGGCTCTGTTAAACTGAAACTCATGGTAAAATGAGTTTCACTTAAATGTAAGAGATGCTTGTGTACTTCTAGCGAGCAAGCTTCTTTTCTGGATATTCATCTTAGAAGTTTATACAATTGCACTCAAAATAAAGCTTTCTAAACTTCTGTTTAAAGTTACGTTGAAAAGAAAAAAGGTTTACTATTCACAGGGAAAGAAACATGCGAGGTCACATTTCAAATATCTAATGCTTTAACTTTCTTTTTGCAGATTAATAAACGTACTGAAGCATTGTTATGGAGCTAGAATGGCAGTGAAAGAAATTTTAATTATTTACTTCCAATTAGGTATTTTAAAGAGAAAAACACGGGATTATTTTGGGCCTTGCTTTTGAAATTTTAGGCCTTCAGCTGGTCATAAGAAACAGAAGTTAATGTTGGCGTTTCAATATTTCCTCTTTTCTAACAGAAATACTTGACTAAAATATTGAAGTTCAAAATGGCTTATTCATATTTTGGTTTAGCTTTTTCCTGTAAGTTACTTTAAATTAGTCTGTGAATTTTAATAAATATTTTGACTGGAACTTATCATTTGGATTCTGTAGCTTTGCTTTTGACTGTCCAGCTTAAACTAGAACTGCAAGAATGTGGTATGCTTATGCAAGTCATCGGCATGAAAGGTTATTTTTTTATCTCCACTGTAATCTGAGAGTTTTACAACTATTCATAGGGTGCTTATTTTTAAAACTTTGACATTTTCTCCAGGTTTAAGTTTGTTTTATAATACAAGTTCCTCACTGCCATAATGAGGCTAGTAATTCTTGAAGATTATGATCAGGCTAGTGAATGGGCAGCAAAATACATCTGTAATCGTATTATCCAGTTCAAGCCAAGTCAAGGAAGATATTTCACGCTTGGTCTACCAACAGGCAAGTTTTATTCAAAGTCTATGTAAATAAGTAAACCTAGAACAATGTTTGTATCATTGCTAGCAGATACAGTATTTAAAAGAACATAAGTATTATTTTTGGTAATACTCCAACATAGTTTTTTAAAAATATGGATCTGCTTTGTGTGAAAAGTTGTGATGTCTGAAAGCTGAGAAATACTAAATGAGAAACAGCAGGCTGCATTTATGTTTAAAAGTATTGTAGCAAAATTTGACTATGAAGAGATTTAAATACACTGAAAATGTTGTGCAGATACACAGAACAGTAGAAAAACTTTATTTAACAGGTAGTACGCCTTTGGGATGCTACAAAAAGCTGATAGAATATCACAAAAATGGAGATCTCTCTTTCAAATATGTAAAGACTTTCAACATGGATGAGTATGTAGGTAAGATGTGCTTATTATTTGAGAACACACTGTACTGTTATTTTTTCCTCCTTATAAAAACTTCTAAATACGTTGTCAAAGAACAAGATCAGTCTAATATGCTTGTACTCTTTATGTTAAATTTCTGTCCATGGGGTCATCTTAAGCATTTTTCTCTATTTATTTTTGCATTTTTGTAGATAAATAAACAGGTGGCTCCTGGACTGAATTCAGTGCAGAAAGTACACTGTGACATAATATTGTGACTGCATTTCTGTTGAAGACTTTATACTCTTTGTGATAAGACATATGTGAAGTGAATGCAAAGCAATTACCTTGTGCATGCCAACAGGAAAACTTTCTTCTCAATGTAATTTCAAAACTTGTTTTATCTGACTCAGTTAGGTTTGTCTTGCATGCCCTACATCGGTTACAAATAAACTAGAATTAAGGCTGTTTGGTTAAATCTTGTCTTATATTAGTTTCACTCTAAATGATTTCAGGGCTCCCCAGAAATCATCCAGAGAGCTATCATTCCTATATGTGGAATAATTTCTTTAAGCATATTGACATAGATCCAAATAATGCTCATATCCTTGATGGGAATGCTCCAGACTTACAGGCGGAATGTGATGCATTTGAAAAGAAAATTGAAGAAGCGGGAGGGATTGATCTGTTTGTTGGAGGTATGAGGAAATGCTCTATGGTTAGTTTCTATCAAGCATGTACACTGATTCTTTAATAATTGTTTTCATAACTTGGCTAAACCCAGATTTTTCAGTTATGGTGCAGGAAAGTTCTGTGGGTAACAAAGAATCAGTATGAATACCAAAACAGAATGGTTGGTGTCCAAGTTTCTAATGGCTTAATTTAAGTAAGTTTTGAATGTTTTTTACTGAAAATGGGGAAAGAACGAGTCCTAAAAATTGTTTATTTGTTTAAGATGTTTGAGGATATTTGTTGACTCTCAGGTCTGGAATGATTTACTTTTTTTAACTTTGAAAAGGCATTGGTCCAGATGGCCACATTGCATTCAATGAACCCGGATCAAGTTTGTCTTCAAGAACAAGATTAAAGACTTTAGCAATGGACACCATTTTGGCAAATGCTAAATACTTTGATGGAGACTTATCTAAAGTACCAACTATGGCGCTAACAGTTGGTGTGGGTACAGTGATGGATGCTAGAGAAGTAAGAACTCATTTAGTTCTAGTTGCATGTGTGTTTTCAAGACTAGTTGGTATTGATACTGGGATTGAAAGTAAAGAGACCTTTGTTTTGCAGGTGATGATTCTTATAACAGGTGCACATAAGGCTTTTGCACTGTACAAAGCAATTGAAGAAGGAGTCAATCATATGTGGACAGTGTCTGCTTTCCAGCAACACCCTCGCACTATCTTTGTGTGTGATGAAGATGCTACTTTAGAACTAAGAGTTAAAACTGTGAAGTACTTTAAAGGTGAGCACTGAATCAGAGGTTACATGTGTTAAAAAAAATGCAAACCCAACAGATTTAAAATTATAAGTCTGAGTCTTCAACACTTTACAGTACCTAATGTATAATGTTATATATTCAAAATATTAACTGTTAACTTATTTCTTGTGTATGGAAAATTGCTAGGAGGCATAACTTATGCTGCTTATATTCCTGACAAATCTGCTTGGGAGAAATACTTCCTTTGCTTCTAGTTTGAAACAATAGTTTAGTAATCATCCACTTCAAACAGCAGCAGTCCAGAATACAGGTCTTAAGTATACTGGAAGTTTCACTTAAAAAACCTCAGTACATTTATTAATCCTGATATATTTTCATGCTGCCTGTGCTGTAACATGCTGTCTTTAGTAAACTGGAAATGTATGATACAGACTTTGAAGTCACATGAGGACATTTTTCTTACAGTGCAATTAGCATAACAATCTATACTGACTCTGAACACATCACACACTTGTACTGTGCTTTTCATATTTGTAGTAGGTATATTGGGGCAAAATTGAAGTCAGGATATTTAATAGTCACTGAGACTTCCTAATCTGAATTGTTTCACTGAGATTGTAGAAGCTGAGAAAAGTAGTTTTCTCCTGACTGTATTAGCACAGCACATGGAATTGTGTGAAATGGTCGTCTTTCTCACTAGCACGGATACTTATAGTAGTTGAGGTATCAGAGATCAAGATTGTAATTTATTCAATTCTTTTTAAAAGAATTATATCAGCAGTGCTCATATATGTATTAGACTACAATTCGGACATTACTGTGATTTTTATCCTGATATCACTTGTGACCAACTTGTTAATTTTAGATTTTTTTCAATATGCTGTCCTCTGCTATGTATTTGCAGGGTAGGGGGGGAGGGTTAGTTAGCTGTATCACACTGCTAGGTATTGTTGTTTTCAAAGATAAGCTTCTTTAACTTGGATAGCTTGGATAGATTTTAAATATTATCCTGTTTTTCATATAAACAAACATAATGTAGAATTACTAGGTATGAATGACACTGAACATCGCTTTAAAAACATCAAGGGCTACAATTTATGAATGTGTGCTATTGTGTCACACTATATTGAATAACCCTGCAATACACAGCAACAGAATTCTAAAAAAGACTGTTTACTGTAAACTTGCTTAATTTTACCTACTCTCAAGTCAGTGAGATTTTCCCTTTTAAATATGAAGAAGAGATCAATGGGGGTCAAATTTGGAATTACTTCTGAATCTTGATCTTTAGGTTAGACTTCTTAGGGAAGCTAGATAGTTCTTAATACTGCTATTTATGATAGTGATTTACTGGGATTTTTCACTACTTAAAAATTCTCAAGGTACTATGTGAAACTGTAATTATTTATTTTTTTTTTTTATAATCACGTACCACACTGGCTGGTAAATAGAATAACTTGCTCCACTTTTTTCTAACTTTCTGAAAACCTATTATAGGCTAAAATTATGAAGTGTACTTAAATGTTCTTACGGTAAAAGGGAAAATAACTTTCTTGAAGAATGTTTGGATTTACTAATTTTTCTGGAGATAAGTTAGTTCAGGATAGTTTTTTGCATACTTATGCATGCTCCTCTTAAAACTGTATGCAGAAATCTGTTTATCCAAAGCATACTTGAATATACAGTGGGACGCAAACCTTTAAAAACACCTTTTGTTTCTTACTGATTTTCCTGTAACAATTTCAGTAACAAGATTTAAATGTTCTTCATTAAGTATGGCAGAGGCAATACTTAGTAAGCGTTTTTCATGCCTCTAGGAAGTGAGTAATTATCTCCTTTTCATTTCCCCTTTTTAGAAGAGAAAAACACTGGGAGGAAGCTCAAAAATGTTTCTAGTTTGAGCAGTGTGTGCAGCTGTTACTCTTTCAGTACAAATGGCTTTAGATCAAATGTATACCTAATTTTTCCCACTGTTAAACTGAAAAATGTTATACTTGATCTAATATCTGCATTTTATATTCAGTGACGACACAGTGATTAGTAAGATGCTGCATAAAATGCCTTTTGTTGTGGTCACTACAGTAATGACCTTAAATTGTATAGTTATTGCATGTTGCTGCAGTGACACTGAGGTTGCTACCAGGTGCATCATGTAGCAAATGTATTTATGTATGATTTGCATATTTATTTCATGGTATTTAAGAAAATTACTCTTAAATGTTGCGTATTTTAATTTTAGAAGTTAGTCTTTAGTTTGATGCTAAAATGGACTTTTACTTTGCAGATTGTGAATGATGATCAGTTACTGTTATTAGTCCTTAAGGTGAAATGAGGTCAAAAACCTGCCAGTGACCCAGTGTCATACATAGGTAGACATAGGTAACATTTTTACTAAGTAATAACAAACTAAAGAGGGAAGCATCTTTTTTTGTTAATTGCTCTTCAGCATCATTCCATAATCAAAGTATTAGAGTAGGAAAAAAAAATAATACCCCTAGTCATAGCTACGGGTGACTTGTATGTGGAAGGAAAAAAAAAAAAGCACAGCAGAGAACAGTTGAACTACTGAAATTCTGAATCTGCATTAACATTCTGGATAGTTTTAGTCTGCTTTTGCCTGTCTAGGACCAGAAGTACACTATAAATTACAAAGACAGTAATACCACAATGCTAGAACATTGCAATTCAAGAATTCAAGCTGTAAGAGTATCACTATGTGTGTATCTGATTTTTATGCTGAATTATGGCATGAGGGAATTATCTTGCTGTTATGCAGTTCTTAATACAGAATAAAAGATGTATTCAGTGAATTTGGAAACATTCCAGATCTGCTTTTTGGGTCTGTTATCAGAGAACTGTCTGATCCCTGCTTGGCTAAGACTGCAGATGTCATTAGTATGCACGTGATACAGGCATATATATGCTGTCTCTAATTTTAAATTACTTTAAATAGACATTATTGTTCTCTTCAATGAACTATTTATAATGTATACTTTGAAGCAAAGTCCAAATAAAAATGTGGATAGAAGGACATGTTGAAAAATTATAAATAACATAAAGCTGGCATTGTTGCTTTCCCCCCAAGGTTTAATGCATGTGCACAATAAGCTTGTGGACCCACTGTACAGTATGAAAGAAAACTGAAAGAAGAATTGAAGAGGAACTCCATGTGGGTCAACAGCAACTGTTTTAGGTAGCAGATGAGTTCACTGCTATGCAATATGCTGAAAACCGTTTAAAATGGGGAATCCTAGGTACTGTATTTTTTAAAAGGTCCAATATCTGTACATTCACATTCCATCTGTTTGCTGTGTTGTGCATTTTGCTTTAACATTTGGAGCTCTGCTGTGGGGTGGTACATCACTAAATGGAACAGAACAAACCTGTGAGAGACTGCATGTTATGTAGCGAGGGGAAAGCAGAGCACTTACTCTAGCACAGCAGTGTAATGCATCTGCCTTGCGGTAAAGGTGATACTTTATTTCCCGGAATTTGTAATTTTGGGCTTGATTAGTGTAACTATATTTTGCATTTGTGTCTCTAGGCAGACTGGTTTTGGCCTTTGTCAATACTGTGGACTTGTAACAGTTGTACAATTTCTACTATGAAATGTTTTGTTTACATGTATCTAATATAAACTGAGCTTTTGCACTTGGTTGCCTTAAATTTATCTTAAAGAGTTTTTGGGCATCTCAAGACCTGCTGTATAGTTCAGACAAATGAAAATACAAGAACAGTGCCTAAAAACGCACCAAATTCTTGCAAGTTATAACTTACTCCACAGATAAAAATATTAACTTCTGCCATAGCACTTTTTCCTCTCATGTATTTCAAGTTACTTTAGGATTTTTATATTTTTGGTAATCAAGCTTTATACGTAAGGAAAATCTAAATGTTCCTTTCTGGAGGTACCTGTTCAATTATATAATTGATGTTACTATTAAATGCCTGAAAAGATGTTAAGTAACAGGAACATAATGTCTGCAAATTTAATGGTCATTTAAAGCCAACTGTTAATCACTTTCTCATTGTATTATTATAAACATTGAGCTGTTACAAGGAATGTTATTTCCTACTTTGAATATAAGTAAAACTTAAATACAAATCTCTAATTTCAGAATTGTTTCATTTCTGATATAAATTGTCATGCATAAATACTTCAAGGCTTCAGGAAGCAATTAGGCACCAAAGGAGGAAGATAAGAGTTCACTGATTTAGACTTTTTTGGAGGGAGCAGTGGGATCATGTCCTTGTGTAAAATACTCACTGAGAGAAAGTGCAACAAAGCAGAACTTCAAGAATTTAACTCTTCACCTAGATGACAGGCAGGTAGCCTTAATTACAAATCATGTTATTGCCTCAGGCTGTAGTAGATTCTCATCTATGCTCACCTTTCACATAAAGGGTTGGACCAGATGGTCTTTTAACATCCCTTCAAACCTGGACTGTTCTATGGTTCTGTGAAATTACAAAAGCATGGAAGAGTGTCTTAAAAGCTTTTGGAGGTGGGCAAGCAGTTGTAAACACAGTATATAGCAGGGTCATTAACTTGCATTTATGACTGCTTTGTGTACAGCGCGTATTTAAAGCACACTGCCCTGCAGCTTTCAACTGACGACTCGCTAACAATAGAAATAAAACTTCACCAAGTACACAAAGACGTGTTCTAACCAAACCTTCATGCCAAAAGAATTCTTTAAGGCTTGAATTGGTCTTTTGGTGCAGCAGTTACATATCCTGTGTTTTAATATATTAAAACTTATGATTTCTCTGGAGCTGAGTATAGGCTGTACTAACGGTAAACTTACACACTTCAACAAGTATTTAAAATACGCAGTGTGGTACATTAAAAAAGTTTTGATTTTTTTTTTTTTTCTGATGTAATTTTCCAGCATGATGATGATTTCCTGACAGCAGCAACTTTAGAAAAAGTAAAACAGGAAGCAGCTTGGTATTGTTATGGCAACAGCTAAAACTTTACAAGAAAAAACCAAACCAACACAGTATTGTTTGTCTATACATACCTTTCAGTTACTTTTATAACCTTTTTGCCATATGGTTCCTGTTCTTTCATATGTAGACTTGCAATGCAAAAATAAAACATTAAGTATTGAAATATGAAAACATTGAAATACAATGAAAATGATACAATGAAAATTCAGTCAAGTGAACTTTAATTTCATAATAATCTACATGTATCTGTACATTTTAAGTACGCACTCCTTTCAATTAATCTTCCCACATATACTTAATTTACACCATTAAAAGTCAAGTATGTTCCCTCTCACATTGATAAATCATATATTAGCTCACTCTGCTACTGTCTGCAAAAAAGTTGAGAGAAGGATCATGTCATTGATCTCTACTTGTCAGTTTCTCTCTTTAGAACACGTATAAAGGCATCTCTTGGTACTTCCACGTTGCCAATTTTTCTCATCAACTTCTTGCTTTCTGCCTGCCTCTTTAAAAGCTTCATTCTTCTTGTAATGTCTCCACCATACTGTGAAAAGGAAAAATATTTTAGTAAGCTTCAACAACAAATGCAACGACAGTACATTTCAACAACACTAAATTCAAGGGCTTAAAAAAAGCCAAGAAGGTTGGTTATATTGTGAAAGATGATTTTATACTCCAAATAGTTATGCCTAAAGGACACCCATTAAAAACAAGGGAGCAAGTAAGCATGTTCATTTGGACATGTGAAGGTTGAATTCTGTTACCTACATTCACATAAGCCTGGCTGACAATACATTGGATCCATATGCCCTTGGAACAGCAGCAGGATGCCAGCTCAGATACACTGAGGCATCTTGACTAGCACTAGGTGCTTTTATCTAGAAAACTGAACTAAACCCTTGTACAACACTGAACAAACACCATCCCACATCTGTGCGCAGCAGAAGAATTCTGTTACAGTTGTGAGAAAGGGACACTTGGTTAATAATTTCCAACATTTGCTTCAGAGAGCTAAATGTAAGCTGAGTAAGAGGTATCACATTTTTCCTATAGCTTTGTTAAGTCTTGTCAGTAGTCAATTATTCAATATTTAAAAGCTTTATTACATTTATACTTTCTTTTATCATCTGAAAAACAACTTAGGAAATGTGAAGTTACACATATGCCTGTGTACACACATACATTTTCTCTATATCTTCAACTACTAGAACATGGTGAGTTCACTCAAGCATGACATGTCTTTGCTGGGTTTCTAGGAAAAAATGGGCCTATCATCTTAGCAGGTTTACAAATTACAGAAACATTAAAGGAAAAAAAAAAAAGAAAAAATACCTACACATTTTGCCACAACATTTTTCCTGTAAGCTTTGAGCCTGTAAAATAACATATATACCTTTAACACATTAGAACATCTATATGAAGCTAAATACTGAGCTATGTCAAAATGCTAATTGTTTTTGTACTAGTTTTGTAAGATGCATCAGCATCATAACATTTTCATGTTTTGTATACAAGAGATGAAGTCTGAAGCAGAAGAAGCAATTCACAGTTCTTAATTCTAGAAATACCCCTTAGGGTGTAAAATGTGTACATAAAAAAATTACAATCTTGCCTTTTTATCTAGGACTTCTGCTATGGCTCATAGGAAGTGTTACATCCATGTGTATATAAATATAAACACAAATTCTTACAGCGCCTTGGTTTAAATTCCTACCTATAATCATTTTACCACAATTTAAATGCTATTTAAACAGCAACAGAAAAATGTGACGAGAAACATAGCATCAAGGAAACTGTTTACTCTAAAGAAGTGCATGCTGCTTAAGAAAAAGTTGTGTGTTCAGCTTGCAACATATTTCCTTTGGAACAGCACAAATCAGTTCTTTCTTTGCTGACTCTCCCAGAGATTAAACTATTCCACAACTAGCTAATTTTTTTTCAGTAGGAAGAAACTTCTTCCTCTGCCAAAGAGGAAATGGACACACAGGTGTTGCACATTATGCTTTATCCACTAAGTGTAATGCTGACCACAAGCAATTTAAAATAAAAATACATTTTCTTTGTATAAATGTAACTCAAAATCTTTAGTCATAGTCACAGCTCAAATTTGTTTGGGTTTTTTTTTTTTTTCAAGATGTCTGGTAGCATATACAAGAAAAATATAACTTAACACTACAATCAAAGTACTATAATATATAAAACTTGGTGAGACATTAAAAATCTGTATTTTACATAGCTTAAATTATGGAGGGAAAAAAAGGGAACAGATGGTCTTCACTTACGTTTCTCTTGCAATGATTTTCTTGCCAATAGCAGCCTGGATGGCTATTTCAAACAACTGTCTAGGTATGGCTTCTTTTAAACGTTCACACAGGAGTTTACCAGCAGCATATGCCTTATCACTGAAAAAGGAAGTCACTAGTGTTTTCAGAAAGAGTAATGCAACACCAAAAATATCCATAGACCAAACTGTTTGATAAAAGGATTTTAGTAGAAGTTTTCCTCTTTTTAGCTCAAAAGATAAGGTGATCAGATCATAATTTTGCATCTACTGAGTGGTCTCTGTATGGACCTAACAGGCTACATTAACAGCAGGCCTTCAAATATGTCCAAAAACACCCTGATTATCCATCACACTGAAGCCATTCTGAATACTGTTACAGCTTCAAAGAAAATGTTAAACTAGGTCAAGGAGAATTTTCATTGATTGTAGGCCCAAAAGGTCAAAATATCTACATATTACAGACATACTTTAAAAGGATTTGGCTTTATATAACAAGAAAAAAAAATCACGTACTCTTGTCATCTGCTAATAAAAATTATCCAACTATATTCAGCATCTGCATGTGCCACAGATTCTGGAAAGAGTTAGAGATGCAGGTAGATTGTTAAACACTGTATATTTATGACAAACACATTAAGCAGCAAGAGAGTTATGTCACTCCAGCCTCATAACCCATCTGAACAAGGCAAGGGTTTCCTTTTCCTCTCTCAGCCTTCTGGAGTTAGACAATTCCAAGGATTTCAATATTGCAGTTATGAAAAAAAAATGAAAATATACAAATATTTAGCAACTATAAATTAGTATTTTGAGAAGGAAAAACAATCCACAAAAAGTTGATCTTGGGATTACTGGAAAGGGATTCTGAAGTTACAGAAGGGAAACTTGTAAAAACTGTGAGGAGAGGCTGGAATGGGAAAGGCATTATCCTCACCCGTAATTCCTGAGACAGTTGTGGAAATTGAATCATTTTATCAAAAAAAATTTCTGAGGTAATTGCATCCAGTAAATATTTAAATTTTCCTGGTACTAAGGCTGGAGACAAGATAACAACAAACTTCCATAGAACAGGCATTACTGGGAGAATAAAACCAACTCTTTTTCAGTACAAAGTACCGAAAAAATTCATCTAGCATCTCCTTGACTGGTCTGCATTTAAAATTTTTCCAGACCCTTAGAAGACTGGCATTATGCATTTTCCTTCAACCTCTCTGCCCTACATTTGCCACAAAAAATGATATCCAGCGCTTAAAATCAGAAAAAGAAGTAGAAATTGCCATTAATTATAGTAGGTATTCCCTAATTTTCATATTACAAAATGCCTCTTTTTCAGTGGTGATGTGGCAAATCCTCAATGCTCATATATATCTGTCAAATATAAGAGTAATACCTATACCTAGAATCACTTAGAATCATACATTTGTTAAAGTCAGGAAAGTCCCTTAAGATCATCAAGTCCTATTAATAGACAATGTTTTCACTGAAGTTAATAGGAAGTCTTATTTCTTTGGAATAAAGAATCTAGTCAACCTACTTATGTATGATAGTAGACAGTTCTTCAACTGGATTTCCATTGAGAAGAATATCCATTTTGATTAGGTCTGCTGCTTGGTATCCTGCATCTTCATAATCAAAACTGAAAAAAAAGACAGTGCAGAAGTTACTGATGATATTGTAAAATTATATTCTGCAGTCTTTGTTCCATAAGTTTTAAATTATAGACACAATTCTTAATAACACATTTGAACTTTGTAATAAAATGGAAGTACAGCTTTTAATAGTCTCTCAGTACATCTCCCCAGTGCAAAACCAGACTAGAAATGTACTGCACATAATGTCATCTCCAATGCAGCAGATGTCATCCTGACTTCCAGGATATCCTTCCAATCTACTGAGCAAGATAAATCAAGCAGAAATCTGCATTAATACAGTTTTTTAAAGACTTTATTCAAACACTTATTTTCTAACAGCTGGAGGTTCCTTCAAGCTCCAGGAAACAGAATGCTCCAACACAGCTTCTGAACAGTAAATGTCCTGAATAACAAAGGAATCAAACACTAATCCTGGGCTGCTTTCTTTTCTTTTGCTCAGTTATATGACCCCTATTATCATTTTCTCTGACAACTGAGTTTTCCACTTAATTGCCAAACTCTTCTTTGGTAGGTATGGAACACCACCTAACTCATACAGATGAGCCAGTGCCACACCAGACGGTGCACTTGAAAAATACACACATGACCAAAGGCAGTGATTATAAAGTAGTGATGCACTTTTGGTGTTTTTCAAGACTTATTTCCATCCATTTTCACAGTAAATCTAATCCATTAAAGGTGAAGAGAGACTAGATTTGCATCGTAGATTTTCCACCGTAAAGGAATATTCTTCATGGGTGCCCTTCCATAACTGTTCCTCAGATCTTTTTTCCCCCTTCAGGGAGGAAGGGGGAACAGGGGAGGTAGTTACCTTGCATAGCCAGAAGACAGAGACTTAAGCGCATCATAAAAATCCAACACAATTTCATTCAGTGGAAAGAGGTATTTTAGCATAACCCTGTTTTCATCAATGTACAACATATCCTTCTGGACTGCCCTGCGATCCTAGACAAATAAAAATTGTTTCAGTTCCCGTTGACAGATATTTTCTACAAAAAAATACAGCACAAATTAAAATTAACAGTTATCCAGCTACAAAAGAGATTTCCTGTATGGCAAGCCCCTGAGTAACCTTCTTATTGGTAGTTCACTGAAGTCCCAGGGAAAATAGCAGCACTATAATAAATGAAGTGGTTGTAACTTAACTGGACATATGATCCAAGCCTATCCTCTCTAAATGCTGAATTGCTGAAATCCTTAACAACTTCTGCTTCCTGCTGCCTTTTAAATGTATAATTATTTGTCCATAAAGTCTCACAGAAATTAGATTTTCACACAAACTGGAGTATTACGCAGTAGGGTTTGCAGAGTCATCTTCTTTTCTCCCAGGAGGGTGTTCTTAAAAGTTATTTTAGGAATTCTTTTTAATAGATTTTATTCTTCACTGTATTGACAATACAAGTACTGTGCTGTTTTGTATTATGTATTCTGCAATGTTAAATGCTAAGAAAAATATTGTGAAAAAATAATATAAAGACAATATGCATGACAGTTAAAACATTTTCAATTAGAAATATTCCAAATACACTTGGGGAAATGTGTTTGGCCATCCCTATTGTAAATTTACTTCAGTGAAGTACTGAAAAAAACACGAGTGCACAGTAAAGTGTTAAGAGAAGTTGTATTTTCTTCCATACACTTCTAAAAAACCAATACATCTTATTCCCCTGCTGCAGATTCCATTCTTTCAGGAGAACAGAACAAGCTACGAGTTAGTCTAGTACAGATCAAGCACTTTACTGTCACTGAGCTTCATCCCTAACTCTCAATATGTGAATTCTGTAGTTCAGTATTTTACAAATAATAAGTTAAAAATAAGTATTTGTTTCAAAAGTATTTAATAACTACTGTCAGAGATACTATTTAATCTATTATCATACTATCCAGTATCTTCACTTTAAGTATGAGGTGAAGAGCAAAAGACAAAACTAAAACTATATACCAACCTGACACAAAGTAATAATTTTCCCAATATATTCATCAGGGGTTACAATAGTACCAAGAACAGTTGGCTCCAAATATTCTGATACTGACAATTTATCAGGAAACTGAGCAGGGTTGATAATAGTAATCTCATCTTTTCCATACTCCTAAAAACAAACAAACAAACCAGATAGCATAATTTTACAAGTAAGTAGACTGAAAACCAAAGGAGACAAATACAGCATTGAAAAAATGCTAAAAAAAATGTTTCAATTGCCTGAAAATGTTTGTGCATTATGCAACCCAAGTTTAAAACAAGAACAATTTGAGAAGAGATTTCTACATCACATATAGAAGTCCCTTGTCAGCATATCTTTAAATATTATTATACAACAGAAATATTACAGGATTTATTTTTTACTTGGGAAATGAGAGAAATACAAAAAGCCTTTCTATCCATATTTCCAGGTCTCTCTCTCACCTGTAAAGTGAGAATCTTCCTTCTTACTTCATCCTTATCCTCTAAGTTACTAAGACCCTGACAGCCTGCAGTAGCATTACAAGCTGTTCCTAAAAACATTCAGGTTTTTTGACTGATAAGGCCTGGAAGATTATTTCACCTGCTTTTAACGCAGTCCGCTCAGTATGCACATAAATGAATACAGCATGATATGTGTCCTATATTCCCATTTTCAAGGACAAGTGTAAGACATAGAAAGAGAGTGCTTGAAGTGGACGGGGGAAGAATATCCTTAAAAAACATCCTTAGAAGAAAGAACATCCTTAAAAAAAATAAATTAAAAAAGTTGTAAGCTTAATACTGGTGATTCTAATGCTTCCTATGAAATACAGTGCTAGCCTACATTTAAACACAGACTGTAGGTGTTTATTACAGGAGGCTTTTAATCTGCTATTTATATAAATTCGTAATGAATTTAACATACCTTTATCAACTTTGCTGAGGAAAGAACAGCTTTATATGGAACTGTCGGTGCAGTCAAAATAACAGACATATTATACTCTTGTTCCAAACGTTGATTAAAAACCTCCATATGTAGAAGACCAAGGAAACCCAATCTGGAAAATGAATTTTACCTGAATGAATTTTACTTTTACCCTGTTGGTAAAAGTATTTGTATATCCCCTAGAATTTCAGTGGGTTTTTTACACCTCCAGCACATTCACACTGCTAGTATGGCAATCTCAAGCATAGCTAACGACCTGCAAAGGACCAAAATAATTCTAAAGTTGAATAATATGCGTCTTGGAGAACAAAAACTATCAATCACAACAAATTTCACTCCGTGCAAACAGAGAATGTAAGAAAATTAAATGCTTTTGATCTTTAGCTATCATTAATTTGAATTAAAGCTCCTAATTTTGAATTCATTTAATTCTATCCTCAGTTGACTTAAACCTGCATTCTGAATTTATGAACAGTTCCAAAAATGAAAGCAGTTTAAAATCCTCACCTCCATCCAGCTCCTAAGGCAACACTACTGTCACGATGAACAGTTACACTGGAGTCATTCAATGTCAGCCTTTCCAAAGCACTTTTGAGATTATTATATTCTGTTTGATCTGCAGGATACATTCCTGTCAAAATATATTAGATAGCAATGATGTGATAGAGAGCTTTATCTGGAGTGTACTTACCTTTTAAATATGCCTCTCACAGTGAACAGAGTAATAAAATCAGAAATAGCCTAATTTGTGTCCCAATTGTTTTTAAACATGAAAAAGAATATAAGGATTCTTTTTTCTCAAAAAAATTAGTCAAAACATAATAACAAAGTTTTAGATTACCTCAGAATTAACATTTAAAGCACAATGGTATGATCACTGTACTCATCTAATCCTTCACGGTTGTGGAAGATGCACAACTGAGTATAACCACTGTTTTGCAGGGCTGCAGTGTAAACATATGGCTTAAGCATGCATGAAAAAGTGGACAGATTTCACTGAGATGTTTCTTCAAAGGTAAGACTGAATGGAAAATAAAACGTGTCATCTGAAAGTTGGAAATGTTTCTATATTTTTTTGAAATAAATAAAAACAGCTGCTTGTATAGTTACTGCACAAAATAGGTTCTACTTTATCACTTTTCACATCACTGTATCTTCAGAAAATGTACTTTACACTAAGAAGCAACACATGTGCCCACAAAAACATTATTTACAAGATTACACTTTTCTACATTCACTGATTGCCTAATCTCAATGAGACAGTTCAAGTGAGTTTTTACACATTGCTTCACAAGTCTCGAAAATTATATACAGAATTTATTTCCTTCTAAAGCCACCTTCTGTAGCATTTGTATTACTACAATAATTATGGAAACCTGATTATCAATATGAAGAATTCCCCCAAAATTACTTTTATTTTTATTTTTTAAAGTCTCAATCCTTCTTTTCCAGCTATTAAGAGTTTACTGGCATTAGAAACAATAATCATGGCAAAAAATACATTTTAGTCTTGTATCCATATAAAACCAGCCAGCAACTATTACTAGTCCTGTCTGTTAAGTTACAGGGAAAATTACACAAAACTACATAAATGACACATCTCTTTGCTAAAATTCTAATCCTCACAACTCTTAATATACACATGTATTCTTTTAAAAGCTCTAACAGCTCTCTTTAATTGGGGAAAAAAAGTAATTCCACTTTATATTGGTTTACTCCTCACCTGCAAAAACCATTGGCTTCGCTGACTTAAAGCCAGGCAAAGGCTCCACTGGCTGTTTATACAAAAAGAGTGTGTCTCCTATTTGGGCTTCTGTTACTTCTTTCATTCCAGCAATCAGGTACCCCACCTGTCCAGCATATCTAAATAAAATTGTTGTTATACAGACATGCTTCTTGGCATTAGTATTATTTCCAATATTTTCCTACTTGATTTAGCCCAGACAGAAGTTCAAATAAATCACCCCACTAAAAGCCATATCCACAGTCCAGAAGCCAGATTTAAGTTGTTTCACCTCCAAGTTGTGAACTGTCTCAAGCAGTTCTATTGCTGTTATAATGGAACTGTACTTTATGGTCCTGGATTTTGAATTCTGTATTATTCCCAGTTTAAAAGATGGAGCTAGATCCTTGAGAAGCTCCTTCTAAGACACAGAAGCCAGAACAGTTCCCAGCTGCCAACACAGCAAGTTTCATATACTAAGAGGAAGAAAGGAGACAAACACCTTCCATCAGCACACAACGCTAACTGGAGGGGAACCCATGGTAGATACCAAGTAAAATACACAATGTACTGGTTTTGGCTAGGATGGAGTTAACTATCTTCCGAGCAGCCCTGTATGATGATGTGTTTGGGATTTGTGACTTAACAGTCTTGATAACATACCAATGTTTTAGCTGTTGCTGAACACTGCTTGTACAGCATGAAGGCCCTCTGTGTTTCTCACTCTGTCACTCCCCGAGCAAATATGCTGGAGGTGGGAAAGAGACTGGGAGGTGACAGAGCCAGGACAGCAGACCCAAACTGGTCAAAGAGATATTCCACAACACATAGCCTCATGCTTCACAATAAAAAAGAAGCAAACGGGTGGTTGGGTGATTAGTTGCTGGCTGGGCTCAACCCACCAGACACAGTAATGTAGTCTCTCTCAGAATCCCCCAATAGCAATTAACACATATTTGGATGCAAACTGGTAAAACTTCTCCACTAATTCTAAGTACCTGATTTTCTTCCCACTGCTGCCATGAGAAGCCAGTTTCTGGAAGCTGTTGTATTCATGGATTTTAAGTTTTCCACCCTCAACATATGCTGCAGCAATAACTAAGATGAAGCCCCATTCCCTTCCACTCTCAAGCAAGGCAGTTCCTAGAAATAAATTGGACAGCTGAATAAGAATATCAAATGCTAGTCTTAAAAAAAGTAGCTGTCCAGATGTTCCATGTACTACAGATGACAGAATGGCTTCCTCCCTCAGTAATGCCCAAAAAGCAGTCCCCAAAACCTTCTGCCTCAGCATGCCCAAAATGAGACTGACACTAAGCATTAAATTACAAATAATAATTATAAAAAAATCCACCACCAAATAACAAAACCAAAAAACCTAGACATGTCCCATTCAAACCAAAAATCATTTTTTGTTTTTTACCATTCAAAACAAAAATCAAACAGAAATGCAGGATTTTATAGCTTACACCAACTTGTGATTTGTTCCACCATAAGAAATTTTTACTTACAGCTTATGTGTTGGTTGTTCATTTGGAGTCAGAATTCCGACTTCACTGACTTCGTATCTTTTCTTTGTGTGTGCAGACACGATTTTATTCCCTTTTGCAATCTCCCCACCAAAGAGTGCAACATTGGCTACGACACCTCGGTAGTGGTCAAAGGTGGAGTCAAATACTAAGGCTTTCAATGGATCAGCAGTATTACAATGGGGTCTGTCACAAAAAACAAACAAACAAAACAAGAACAACAAAAACAAATATTATGCATTGTGTTTTCATTCAATACTGAGTGAGCAAGCACACTCACCCCAAAAACTTCCATAGAATCATAGTGTACCGGGTTGTAAGGATCACCTGGGCCAATCTTCCTAGGCAAAAGCACGGTCTAGACAAGATGGCCCAGCACCCTGTCCAGACGAACCTTAAGAATGTCCAATATTGAGTAATCTTCCTCGCTTTTCTGAGGAGATTATTCTAATAGCTCATTGTTCTCACTGTGAAAAATTTTTCTCCTGTATCCAACTGAAATCTCAGGACTAATTTATACCCATTAACCACCATCTTTTCCATGTGACTCCTAGTAAAAACAGAGTCTCCACCCTCTTTGTAGCTACCATTTAAATACCAGAATATGGCAATAAGGTCTCCCCTAAGCCTTCTTTTCTCAAGGCTGAACAAGCCCAGTTCTCTCAGCCTTTTCTCACAGGGCAGGCTGCCCAGTCCTTTGATCATCTCTGTGGCCCTTCTATAGATTTCTCTTACCAGTATTAGTTAATAGCAGGACAAAAGAATGAAAAGCAATATGCTGACTGAAACTGAATTGTAATTTAGCAGCTTTGTCAAGTTCTCAGAAGTCTATTTTAAAGGTCAGGTTAAGGACATAAACTCTAAACACAGCAGATTTAAATTACCTTTATCATTTTAACAATGCAATGTTTCAAAGTGGCAAAAGCACATACCTGCAAACACTTCATGGAAGCTATAAAAAGTCATAAAAGCATCACCTTTAGTGGCTCATCTCTCATCTTTCACTTCAGACTGAATTAATTTTCCTTTCCTACTTCTTAGGAATAAAGAATTCTTCTCTGCTGATATTCACATTCATTTTTTTAAAGGCATCTCAAATCTGAAATGTCATTTTTTATCATTTGAAATTTGAAATTGACTTAACCAGCTCAATCATTAGATTTCTCTCACACTTCTCTATAAAGTATTTTCTTTAAATCAGATGCATATTAAATGTAAAACTACCAGTACCATACAAATGCAACTCATGGTTTCCTAATAAACCTTACAAGGTTAATTAGATATATAATTAAATACAGACTTACGGTGGGATCTTCTCAATGACCTTTTGAAGAACTTTTTCAACATTTGTTCCTTGTTTAGCAGAAATCTAAAAAAAAAATCCAACAATTTTGCAAGACAAAACTTACACTCATTCAATATCTATTACAGAGTGTCACATTTACTTAGACAGTTTTGGTGGCCATAGAGAATACTACCCATAAAACCACTCTGAAGGACACTTTAGAATGCTATTACTTAGAATGTTTCTTTTCTCATAGATTATACTGTTAAATGTTTTCTCTTGTGAATGGCAATTATTGTTATGATAGGTATGAAAACAATTTATGGATCGACAATGAGAAAATTTTAAATCTCTGATGCATTCATCAAAACATACTAGAATTTTTAACTGAAAAGTATTTTCTCCACTCTTTTACACAAGACAAACTTTAAATAAATTCATCTGTCAGACAAAGACATGCAGACAGATGGCACCCTTTTGATTTACTACATGTACATGTCTTTCGTTAGCTACAAAGCAGATACTATTATACCCTCAGCCACGTTATAAAACTTAAGAGGTCTTACCCTTATGCATTCATCTGCAGGGATATCAAACAGCTTCTCAATTTGTTTTTCAACTCTTTCAGGGTCTGCATTCTTCAGGTCAATCTGAAAAAAAAACCAAACTGCTCAATATAAAAGCAATCACTCTTTCACATGATCCAGCATCTTTTTCCAGAAGTACAAGAAACCTTTATGTATTTATGAGTAAATACTGGCTGTCTTCAAGAAATGATCAAGATTAATTTTAGAAAGTCTTCCTTCCTTGATTCCAGGAAGGATCCTACAGAAAGCAATTAACACAAGCTGAGCAGTAACTAATCTTGTGATTCCAACAATACAGGCATCAAAATTGTATAAAACATAACACTTGGATGTCATTTAAAACTACAACTACACTTCTAAATATTGAGCTGCTACTCATTGAGCCTCCTCAGTATCAATGGACTTTTAACACCATCAGTTCCAACCGTAAGCCTGGCACTACAAAGTCCACCACTAAGCCATGTACTTAAGTGCTACATTTTTTAAATACCTACATGTATTTTATGACATTTGTTAAACAGACAACAAATACAGACAATTCTTATTACGTTCTAGTATTATTATATATATTATACCATTTTTTTTTCATTATATACTTCATTATATACTTTCATTATATACTTCAATTTCAGGATACATTTCTTATCAGTCTTCTACATACTTAAACAACCCAACTATTTCTATTTAACAGGAAAGTCTAAAACTTTTATTACCTTATTTATGACAGGAATTATTGAAAGCTGTGCTTCAAAAGCAAGATAGAAGTTTGCCACTGTCTGAGCCTGAATACCCTAGAAAATAAGCATTACAAAACTTTAATACAGAAACTTCCTGAGTTTTGGTGTGTGCTTGGGTTTGGGGTTTTTTAGGCATACTATACAATTTAAGATTACTTCACTGTTCTATTCACTCTTGTATTTCCAAGATGGAAAATAAGTAAAAGGATTATACACAATTGCTGAGAAAAAAAACAGCTTTCCTAATTATAATTTCTCGTAATCTGCATATAAGTAGACAAACTAATAATAATGTATGTGTGGCCACTTTAATGGAATTTTCATAGATAACATAACATACATTATGCACCAAGTTCATATTTTTGTGTATGTTACAATTTTGGCTATTCAGAAATAAATAACTGGTATCTCAAAGAACACATTTTTTTTGTTCTCAACAAACTATTTACAAATGGACTCTGACAAAGAAAAAGGGATGTTTATCAGGATGATAAGACTCTAATTACTCCACGCGTCAGCAATATACCTTCAACTTACCTTACAGTTACTTTCATAAAAGGAAGCAAATGATAAAGTTTATACCTCACATTTCTTTCATAAGGATAGCAAAACAACAGCTCTGATTAGATGAAAAGGGGAGATTCCCTTCCAGATCCAAGTACCAGACCAAGGAAAGCAAAGCGACAGATGCTAATGAATGCGGATATAAAGCAATATTATCACAACTGGATCGGAGAGGGCAGAAGTGGGGATGAAGAGAAGAGAAGGAGTTAAAAAACATCTACTTGTTGTCCTTCCTTTGTTCAGAACAGATCAAATGGAAGATTACTTATATGGGGATATTCATTATGGATATATGGGCCTAACTTTTCAGGTAATATAAAGAAGCAACAAAGAGTGCTTATTAAAAAAAATGCAATTAATAAGTTGAGTTTGTAAGCCTTCTGACTGAAAGACAAATAACACCAAATAATCACATAATATTTAAATGTGACATTAAAAAACTAAATATAAAAACATCAACACATGTAGGGGACATACTTATTACTGAAGCTTACTTAAAAAGTCCACTTGCCCATCAAGCTAAGAAGCAAGTGTTCATAATCATTGGGAGTTAAGTTAGTTACTTAGCTAGGCTTGTTTTTTTTCATAAAACATAGGAAACACTAGCATTCATTTGACCCTTGTACAATACAATCATAAATACGCCACAGAGAAAATTCTCACAAAGTATTTCATTGATAATGTGCCCATATTTAAAATCATGATTCCATAATTCTCATATTCTAGACTGTTACCTGAAGGTACTCAAATGGGTGTTAGTACAATAGCTAGAGGTTCTCCAGACTGCCATTTGCAAAGTTCATACTCTCCAAAGAACTGGATCTGAATTCCTCACTAATCCTGTGCTATTATTGCTATGCCATGGAACTGTGGTATCTATTAATAAAAGTATTTGTCTCTAGATTTTTTCTAAACTCCCATTGCTCTTCTTCTGCAACATAATACTTTTATGGAGATAAATGAAGGGCAAAACCAGTGGTGGAAAAACTAAAAAAAAAAAAAAAAAAAAACAACACCAAACAAAAACCACTACTAACCTTCTCTCTAAATTACTTAAGGAAATATTGAAATTCTAAATAAGAAACAAGAATTAAGAACTCTACCTCATTTGCATCCACTACAAGTATGACGCCCTGACAGGCAGACAGTGACCGTGATACTTCATAGCTGAAATCTACGTGACCCTGTGGAGAAAAAATGTTTACAATTTTAGGTACTTCTAGAGTCTTTTGCAAAGATTTCTGCACTGTGTTTTCATTTGTGTATATATATATATTTTCACATTCTAAAAAGAAAAAAAAAAAAAAAAAAGAGGAACTGAATAAACACAAGAAGCCAGAAATCTCCTGCTTTTACATAGGAAGACATTTAGCTTTGTGTGATTTCAACACTCTTTATATTTAACTTACTGGCGTGTCAATAAGATTTAAGAGGTAGTTTATGCCTTCATGATTGTAAAAGAGAGATGCAGATTGTGCTTTAACTGTAATTCCTCTTTCACGTTCTACTTGCAGTTTATCCAGCACTTGTTTATTACGGTCAGTTTTAGAAATTGTTCCTAGAAAAAAAAGAAAAAAAAAAAAAGCTTTATTTATTTATTTATTTATTATTTATTTATTACCTTATTTACTACATTAGCTCTAAAATAAATAAATCTTGAAAACATCATTAACCAAGAAAACTCAAGACTTGCAGCTGCAAATGAAGCTTTTCCATATGATTAAGTTAAACTAAGATTTTTAATCAAAAATAAAACTATGCTTCAACTCTTTACATCTGCTAGATTAAGTTTTAAGTATGAAGTTTTATAAAATACTGTGCTGAATAAGCACGATACATGACATCATCCAAGTAAAAATCATAGATTAGGAAGCAAAAATTCCATTCAGTGCTAAACAGTTTTTATATCTAAGGAAACTTCACTTCCCATCAATGAAGAGCAGCTCCATGGCCCACAGCTACAACCAGCACCAACCTCAAGTGCAAGAAGAGCATTATCATAGAGACTGACAGACCTGAATTCAAAATTCCATTCTATCACAGGCATCAGGTAAAAATGGGAGGTAATAACAAAAAAATAACTTTGATCAAAAGCTTCTCGCTCAGGTTTTGTTCAGCCTTTAAATGAGAAAAGCAAGACTCTTCCAAAGAGTATTTCTGAGCAGTTAATTTAAGCTCTGCTCTAAAATTAGTATCCTCTTAGGAGATAGAGCAATTGTTTTACAGCCTACCTTAGAGAACCCTCTAAGGCACCTCTGTCTACCTCTTCCAAGGAAAGTCTAGTTTCAGAGTCACTTATGAAGATCCCTTAGCACTTCTTTCCTCGTTTTTCTTTTGAAGGGAGCATTTTCCTTATCCTCAACATTGCATAGAAATAAAAACACTGAAGTCCAAGAAACACTGTGGTGAAGTCAAAATAAATTACTCTGAAGACAAAAGTAACACAACTTCACTGATACTTAGAGTGAACAAAAAAAGCAAGTCTATGTAGGAGCTGAGAATCCCTGGAATTTACACTCAATTACTGCCAGCTATTGTACACACTGAATCTAAATCAACATAGAGCTGCACATTTCTAAAACTTTCAATGCAGCATCACATCAGCTGCAGTACTAGTGAGCTCCAGCAGCATGGAAGGCAGTTAAGAATGGTTTGCTCACAAGAGGACACACCATTACTTTCATATAAGCAGCTGAAGTCCCTCGCTTTCAATGACACGTTTAAAAACTACTGTCCTGAACCTCTAGGCTGTGACAGTCCACCCCTACCACTGGCAGTAAACAACACAAACTTGCTGGGTACTGATCTAACGGATGACTGGCTGGAATGACAGGAGTAACATCTTGAACAAGGAAGTATACTCCTTTTCAGTCTCTTTCCAAAATATGTACTTCCTTGAGTGAATTACACACCTCCTTACCCCTGCATGTAGGCAGATCTCAACCACAAAGTCCATCATATCTGTTACACTACACAACTGAAAGCCTAAAAGCATAAGCAACGTGGCATTAGAAGAGGAAAGATATTAGAAATTTTAGTAATAATCAAAGCTATAGAAACTTAGACATCACCTTCCATATCAAGAAAAGGTAGTATAAAATGAGAACACCTACCTGTAATTTCCAACAATCTGTCTGCTAGTGTACTTTTTCCATGATCTACGTGAGCTATAATACTGAAGTTTCTAATGCTTTCAACCGGATATGTTGACATATCTAATTTTTCCTGAAAAACAAAAATTTCTTTTCATAAATCATGATTACAGTCTCTATGTACAATAAGACCTGGTCTTTAAAAAATTTGATTCTTTTCTCTAAAAGAGCCATAGGTTAAACAGAGATACAAAAACTTGTCACCATTGTTTAAAATGCTGGCATTTTACTTTAGTTATACCGACGAATGTGTTTATCACTCTGAATAATCAAAGAGTGTGTGAAAGCACACGTGTACATGTTCTCTTGTACACAGGGATCTGATTCCCTCACTTCTTATGCTAGTTAGTCCCCAGGGGCAGTCTTCCTCGAGCTGGTGGATTTCACGGGTGGGTGGTCACGACTCAGTGGTCGTGATCTCCCCATACCAGAATTACCTTTTACCCAGCACAACACTTGCTGAGTTGGCTTTGTAAGTTTCTTCCTTATCGTGGCAGTTCTGCCGAATGTCCCTGTGGCTCGTAAACTCGCCCCTAGGTCTGAGATCACTGACGCATGTCAAGCCCTAAACCTCAGCAAGGCAGTTCTACCCCCGAGTAGTTTATCTTTCCAACACCCGGACATCAACACGGCGTGCCTGGACAGGCCGCCTGCCCCACGCCGCAGCCGCAGGACAACCTCGGGCAGGCGAAACCGCGCCCCCGACCCATCTCTCACCTTGCCGCGGGAGCTGAAGCGCCGCCCGCCCGCCGCGGGCAGCCAGGCCGCACGGCACAGCGGGGCTGCGGCGGGGCAGGGGCTCCGCAGCCGCGCCCACCACGCCGCCGTCCTGCCGGCGAGAGCCATCGCGATCGGGGCCGGGCTCGCCCCCTCACAGCCCCGCGGCGGGGCCGCGCCGCGACACGAACAGCGGCAGGAAGAGGGGCGGGCACAGCAGCGGGAAGAGCAGGGCGAAGAGGGGCCACCGCCCCGGAAGCGGCCCCGGCGGCAGCGCAGTGGGGGCGGCCGGAGCGCCGGAGCCTCCCCGAGCCCGGCCGGGTGGGGCCGGGGCTTCTGTGCTGGTGGAATCACAGAGGGATTCATTGGCTTGCGCGTCTGCCAGTTTGCCAGCGTGTGGCTGTTGAGGGCCGTCAAGGTTGTGCCTTGTAAAATTCTGGAAGCAGAAGAATGTTGTCATGCTCTCAGATAGGTTTTCTGTGTGTTAGAAATTCTAAGGTCCTGGCAAGTTGTTAAGACAGTTGTTAATAGAGTAATGCAGGATAGATATAATTCCACTTTTTTAAAGATTTAAAACTACACAACTGTTAGAGTAAGCATCCCATGTGCAGTAGAGAATTTGCTATCATAGTTCACTGCTGTGCTGATCACATGGAATTTGTGTAGTAATGGGCAAAGAGAGTCCTTCAGCAAATTCATGAAAATATAAAGGGAAGGAGAAGTATGTCCCTGAATACGGAATAAGGGTGACAGGAGCCATGAATTCAAAGTTATGATCCAGAGCATGCATATGAGTATAGCAGCCATATCTGGTGGTAAATATTGTCCCTGCTACACACAGATGAAGTTCTCTCTATAAGTATTGGCTTACCTTTCTGCAATAGCAGACAACAAAACCACATAGCAATCCTATCATTCCTAAATGGATATTGTCTTCATTGTCCCAAGAGACAAGAATATCAACAAATCTAATAGATTGCTCTATTAGCAGGGATTAAAGTAATATGCTTTACAGAATGTCATAAAATATCCTCCCTGCTAAGCAATTTATATAAATCACACATTTTGGCAGTTCCAGAACAATTGCAGGGGTATCTAAATTGCACATTCACGCTAGCGGCACACATTGTTCATGATGTGTAACAAAATGTCTGCACAAAATTCCATAGTCACAAAAATACCAAAAAAAATACATAATTCAAACCAAATAGCGTGACTAAAGGTTGCATTTCCACTCCATATCTACTCCTTAGAGAATCAATACTTGTATTTGCACTGCATGCTCACTAAGCTGGTTGAATGAAGGAAGGATTTAAGGAGCTGTACTGGAGTAGTTACTGAATGAGCTCATGTGCTGCATCTTCATGCCACAACTTGTTCTTGTCCTGTTGGCATGGAGTGAACGCTTATGGAGTGATGAACGCTGATGCTGGTTCATCCAGAGAGAGAGCAGTTCTTAATATAAAGCTATTTGCAGGTGCATGTATTTTAGAATTCTGAAATAAATGAAGAAAAGCAGGAATGGAACTGCATTTCCAGAATGACTCCTAGTTATATGAACAAAATTATTACATGTACTATGAACTTGAAGTTCAGATTGGTGGTCCATCCTAAGCCAGGATAGAGCACAAAAATTGTGTTCATCTGTCTTTAGCTTCACTTTTCAGTTGGATAAATATATGAAGCAAATATTAAGATTTTTGATCAATTTGCTTTGAGCTCTATATGCTGTGGAACATACTACTGTTATGGAAAGATGTACAGTTCAGCAGAATAATAAATATTAAAGTATTTATGGGACAGCAAGCCAGTAGAAGAAAGATGAATTTTCAAGTGATCCCTTTGCATGTCAAAATGTGATGAATGGATGTGCACCTTTCCTGAACTTCAAAAGTCATTAGTTTTAATGAAGATAAAGTAAATGTACCTGTCTCTAGCTATATTAACTAACATTGAAGCCAGCCATATAAATAGTAAATTCAAATATTAGCAGATTAATGACTGACGAGGCAAAAACCAAAATATAAGCATGAATTTCTCGTCTGATTCCCAAGTGTCTTATTACAGCTACACACAAATGCACCGTTGAATGTCCTACCAGTAATTATTTAAGTTGAAGAAAAAATGTGATTATCATAATTTCAAGTCAGTCAGTGTTATGTATTATTTCCTGGAAGTTGTGTTCAATAGAAACAAATATGTTCCCTGACTGACATGGTATCATTGCCTGAGTTTTAACAGTAGTTGTATATTTTCCCCTAAGGGGACAAAATTGCAAAATTAAGCATTTATCCAGTCAGGTATCAGTCATCTATTAAACTTCTATAAGTGTGACAGTCACACAGGTTGACATAGTGTACTGTAATGCAGTGAATAATATAAAAAGTAAAGAAGCATTTCCCTGATACTAAAATATGAGCTGATAAAATGCAACTAAGATTTTTCAGTGCTAGAGAGAGAGAGAGAGATACACATGCAGAAGGCCAAGCAGATCTGTAGTCAGTGGTAGTCAGTGGTACCTGTGAAACACAGAAGAGGATGCACCACTTACTACTCACTCAGCAGTGCACCTCATTTGGAAGCAACTTTTGGTAGTACCATGAGACTATGGAAATGTAGAAATAAAAACAGAACAATATTCCCTGGCAGTAGTGAAGGAGGAAAAAAAACCCACACACACATGCACAAAAAAATTGGCTAAATGAGATCACAGATTTCTATTCTCCACAAGTAGTTACTGTGTAAATTAAATAGCCGTGACAAAAGCCTTTCTTGTCACTTTCTTACCAGCAGGTGCTAAAAGGAAATTACTTCTTTAAAGATAATGTTGACAGAAATTTCTCCTGTCTGTAAAATATGTTCGCCTAAGCCAAATTCAGAGACATTATATTGCATAGTAATTAACTGAATTAAAAGGACAAAGTTTACTTAAAAAAACCCATTAGACCAACACAAAAGAACAGAACAAAACAAATAAGCAAACAAAACCAAAGCCAACAAACAAACAAAACCACAAGGCTAATGAATTTCAGTCTTGGAAGTCCTAAATGAGACAATTACCAGACAGGTCACTGACACTTGTCTTCTAAATGTGTCTATGTGTCAGAGTGAGGTGCCTGGACAGACACCTGAATTAACTAACCTGGTGGGCCAGCTTTTTTAACCAGATCAGTCACCCAGTTTTTCTTAGAGTAGTTATTTAAGTTTGACAGGCCCTTATTGTTTTGGGAGGACAAAAACTAGCAAATCCTTTTCCTTCCTCTCTTCCTTTCTTTTATCATCAAAAAATGTCATGTGCAATGTCCGCACTTGTCACTGTATCTGCTCCAGACCTTTCTTAACAAAAGTTATGATGGACAAAGGGACGGCAGTGACTGGAGTTAATATTTTGCTTCTTGAGGCAAATTTCCATTTTGAAATCTTTCCTTGACACTGATATAAGACCTCAGGCCTCAAGCTATGAGCTCATTGAAGGGGTTTTACTTGAAAAATATACAAGGCTCTGAAAATTCGACTGCCAAAATTTATGAAAAGGGCCTTCAGTTCTTTTAATACCTTGAGAAAACGCAAGGGAGAAGACACTGTATATGTTTCCTAGGAGTTCAAAAACAACATACTTTTACTGGCAAACTTTAGAAAATAAGGAAGCTTGGCAAAAGTTTAAAGGGCAACCAAAATAAAGGATTGCACAAAGCCCTGACTTTGCACATGCTAACCCATACAACTTAGCAAAATCCAACCCATCTGGCTGCAAGTTACCCAAAATATTAAGAAAGGAGATTAGGAGAAGGAGAAGAAGTAAAGAAAGAAAGATAAAAAGTGAGAATTCTAGCTACCACCCCTAGTCCAGCTTCCAAATTTCCAGTTGGCAGGGTCCAAACACATGGAGACCACATGTTGCTGCTTTTATTTGCTTTGACCCCCTGTGACCACATACCCCTGCTCCCAGGCTCGTCTGGGGCTGGGTTAGAGACTCTGGTGTGGTGTGGGGCAGTGCTCCCGCTGTCCAGTCACTGACAACTGCTCCAGAGTGGCCCAAGGAGGCTCTAAGAGGCTGGAGTATGGAACAGGGCGCTACTCCACCGTTGTGAAATTTGACCTGTCCCTTCCCCCACACATACATTTGAGTTGATCCGAACCAATAATTGATATAATAATCTAGTGTCTCTGAAAGGAAGCATCTGATTTTACTGAAGTCTTTTTATTAAAAAGAAAAAAATTGAATTTTTCCTTTTTTCTATAAATAATGCCAAACTGTATGTTTCTAGGCCATAGCCTACAGAGGAAACAGAGTATGTAGTGAAATACATAACTTAACAGCATAATTGTTTTTTTTCTTCATAACAGAAACCTTTTTCAGTTAAGACATTCATCTTCTATATTTTATTTACCAGAAAGACAATATTTTAGAACTATGTTCTGTTTACTTCCTTGGGCTCATAATTCCAACATATTTTAATAATCAGGGATTAAAAATGTTTTCTTCCCCTTCCCTGCATTATGTTCTTAATATACAGAGTGAGGTGCTTTGCATGAATTTACCAGTCTAATGGAAAATTGCCTATTTTTAGATTTTCTTGAGAAGGCTTAATGAATCTTAGATGGGTTCCTATTAGCTTGATTTGTGTTTACAAAATAGTTTGAACATGTTTAATAAGTTCATCTCTGATGTCTATACAAGATGCGGGATGAACAGTTTGAGATCAGCCCTTCCAAGAAGGACTTGGAGGTGCTGGTGGATGACAGGCTGGACATGATCTGGCAACATGCACTTGCAGCCCAGGAAGCCAGATCTCCTGGGCTGCATCAAAAGCAGCATGGCCAGCAGGGCGAGGGAGGTGATTCTGCACCTCTGCTCCACTCTGGTGAGAGTCCACCTGCAGGGCTGCGTTCAGCTCTGGGGTCCCCAGCACAGGAAGGACATCGATTGGTTGGAATAAGTCCAGAGAAAGGCCATGAAGATGATCACAGGGCTGGAGTGCTTCTCCTGTGAGGAAAGGCTGGGAGTGCTGAGGCTGTTCAGCCTGGAGAAGAGAAGGCTCCAGGGAGACCTCACTGCAGTACTTTTCAGTACTTGAAGGGGATCTATAACAAAGGTGGGGACTTTTAGCAGTGTAATGGTATTAAACTGAAGGAGGGTCAATTTAGATTAAAGAAGGAGTT